ACAATAGGCTAGGTGTAAATAAATACGCTCAAGTGCTACGATCACGTGAAGGTTATGCGAAGTATCGTAAGTCTCCTACGAGTCGGAACCACCTAATGTGGTCTGTATGACAGACTAGCACCTACCTTGGATACAAGGTGAGCGTGTGGCGCAGGAAGTAAACAATCACGTGAAAGCTAGGCCTTGTCCTCGGGCGAAGCACTAACACCGGAGTGCAGGACAATGAGCTATAAATACATCTCAACACAATCATACTCACTACCATCAAGATACTCACCTGAAACTTACCCGGTGTCCACAGCGTCATTTGGCATAACCACTTTAACATCCCACATTCTTAATCAGAACTATACCCAGTGATAGACCAGAATAAATCAAGGTTAATTTCTACGTTGTTAACCATCATAACTTCTTTCTTTAAAGAAATCAAGTACCATGTTAAATTCAGATTGTTTTATGGCTGCAACTAACTGTCTTGTTAGACTGCCTACGTACCCTCAAATGGGATCAAGTCATTCGTAGTTCAACTTAGTACGTCAAAGCATTCATAGTCATTATATATAGGAAACATGCATATAAATATGTCATAATGTAATCTAACACTCAACCATATCAAAGTATTTTAGACTATATAAATATATGTATGACATGGTATACATATGCATAAATCAAACTAAAAGCGTTTGCAGAATTATCAATCATATATATATATATATATATATATATATATATATATATATATATATATATACGATAAAAGGAAAAGACCCACTCACCTGAGGTCCGCACTACGACTCCCTAGCATGCATATCAAGACATCACGAACCAATGTCGCCTAGAACAATTATCAAATCACGTCTCAGAGTTCTTACCGATAGAATACATAATTTACAGAAAAAACACATCCCTACGTAATTCACTCTGGAAGATCTGCATCATGGATTTCCGATCCATTACTTCCAAAGATTCACATTATGTTCTTAGAACCACGTCCTAATATTTCATTATGATCCAACAGTTGGATCTTCGCCAATTGCCAAAACCAAGTGGCGATCAACATTTTATTTTATGAACTTACAAATCCAATCCGGGAAGATCCATACGTCGGATTACCGATCCATAAGTTTCTATGGTCCTCAAATATTACGTACTATAATGTATTAAAGTTTGGTGACGATCCAACGGTCGGATCGCCGATTCACACTTTTACCAAATAACGTGACGTAGAGAATTTAGGTTCCAACCATCAACCTAAGTCATACATTTACCAAGACTGAACTCAAGTCATCTAATTTAGCCTAAGAATGACATCGACGTGGGTGGCGGTCGGCCGCCCCGACTCGTCGGAAAATCCAACTATTTCTAAAAATTACCAAATTTTACAGAAATGAAAATCTTAATGAGTAGAACAAGTTTTATACCTGTGGCTAAGTCCAATTTAGCCAGGAAATTCACTCAAACCCGCCGGAAACCCTAAGATGGGTGTTCTTCGATTCGACTTCCTCGATGTTCCAACACCCCTACAACTGCTTGGGTCTTGTTCCTGGGTCTAAGAGGAGTTGATTATGGGTGGTGGTGGGTGGTGAAACTCGCTGGATCAAAGGAATCACCGTCGAACACCTCCGGTGCTCCGCTGATGTTCTTCGCGTTTTTGGGCCTAAAACTCTTCAATCTTGAGCGAAGGTGAAAGAAGAAAGATTGGGGAAGATGTGGCAGGTGGTGGATATGGTGTTCCATGAAACAAAATGGCAGAAATTGGCCAGATTTTGACCGGTTTGGGTGTGCGGGTGCACTACTCGACGGGAAGGTTTCTTCTCTTTTTTTTTTTTTTTTCCTTCTCCCTTCCTGATTGGTTCTCCTTTCCCTTCCTGATTGGTTCTCCTTTTCCTCTCTTAAAATTGATTGGTTACCACTCCCACATGGTGAGAGTTTGAATTAATTTATAACTAAACTTTAAATAACCAATTTTAAATGTCTGTAACTATACCGATATAATTCAGACTCGCAAACGGCTTTCGCCTATGCGTTCGTACCAACGAGTACCACACAAATGCGTTAAGTGAATAAGTCATACGTTTCTCTACACGTTGGTCAATGAAAGTCAAAACCTTCACCTTTAGGGAATTTTCGTAAATTCATTCTTTTCAAGTTTATAAAATCATAGAACTAGGGACAGGTTGTCACACTATCACATTTCTCCTCCCAATCTCTATATTCTCTCTTGTTTCATAGTTTATTTTAAACACGTTCTTACATTTTAAGTTTGTCAAGATTTTTACAAGACCCAACTTAATCCCATATTTATTGGCAGTTGATCAGTTTCTTTCCTAAGTCTACCCGAATTCAATTAGACTATACGTCCACTCAATGTTCTTGCTGTATTATGCACATTTGTTTTTTTTTTTTTTCCTTTCTTCATGATGACATTGGCTTCTCACTTTCGGTTATCTTGGTTTTATTTGGTTCACTTTTCTTCTAAAGAAAAGATTTCAATTAAAAAGGGATTAAAAAAAAAAGTGTTGGAAAATTTCCTAGTGCCCTAGTGCTACCTTTGACATCATACGACTTAACAGCAAATTCGTCTTATGCTCCCTCTTAGTACAAAGTGTTATTATTTCATTAGACCTTAAATTTGTGTGCTCACACCAAAGAAACCCTCGCATACATTTAATTTTTTATTTGTTTGACAACAGTGCATAAACCCAAAAGAAAAAAGAAAGATTACAAAAGAATATCACAAGGCAATGAGACCCTAATTATATTTACAACTAGCAACCAACGACAAAGAGGATGAGGGGCATACAATTATTATAAAACGATATATTTACACTAAAAAGCAAGGTGGTGGAGGGAAATAACTTGATCACTAACTTGTCATTTACAAAATTTCAATCTAAGACCATTTACTTACAAGTGAAGAAAAATATATAATACTAAATAGCTATATTTTATATCATATTAATTGTGCATGAGGGTGTTAATACCACATTTATGGCGAGATTATTCAAGTAGGTTTTTTTTTTAACAAACAGTATTATCTACACTAAGGGGTGAGGATGTGGGCTAAGCCTTATGAGCCTAACCATAATAATGTGGTTCAAAACCGCATTTGGGGAGAATCAAACTTAAGATCTTTCACTTACAAATAAAGAGAAATACCACTAAATGTAGTTTTTAATTTGTGTGGGATGCATCTTTTCTCTTTCAAGATCATGTGTGAAGATATGATTGTTTTATAGGGTGTGCATAAATATTGTAGACTTATTGGCTTTAATCGTCTTAGGCAAACACCTAACCTTATGCTTATCTTTGCCTCATGTGTATAAATTATCAATGACAACCTCCACATCAACATAATTTTAGAGTAACCTCTGCAATTTTAATTCATGAATGAGACATCAAAATTTGAAACAAGACAAACCCGTATGCCAAGGTTGGGTGTGCTTGCCTTGCCTTGGAGAATTTTAACGACACATTGGTACGAAATGTGTCGGTATTTAAATGACTAGACTCAGAAAATCATAATTTAATTGTCTATCATATCATACATTGGCGCATTGTAAAATTTTCATTGGCGTTGTGAGTTAAGAAGTAAATGAGTATTGTGGTAAATTACTTAATCTTGAGTAAAATTTTCATTTGCGTTGTGAGTTAAGAAGTAAAAGAGTATTGTGGTAAATTACTTAATTTTGAGTAAAATAGCGCAAAGTTGGTAAATATAACAACAAAGCTGGAATAGCTCAGTTGGCTAGAGCGTGTGGCTGTTAACCACAAGGTCGGAGGTTCGAGCCCTCCTTCTAGCGTTTGTATTGTTCTTTTTTTTATTGTTTGTTTCACTTTTAAATAATTTTTTAGGACAATGTTCGCAGGAGTGGAAATTTTTTAACCAAAAGTCAATTAAAACCGACCAAACCGGTTGGCTTGGTTATTAAATTTCAGTTACTGATATATTCGATTTGGTTCGGTATAAGTAACCGATTATTCAAACGTTTAAGAACCAATCTCTAAATCCATAATCAAATACCTAAAAATCAAGAATTTGATCAACTAGGGGATAATCGATTTAAGTTCTCCAATTCATTCGTTCTGCTATTTTTATTAACATCCTAAAATAAGGCTTTTACAATAAAACAAATAAAGCAAATTCAATTTAATGGCATGGTGTGGCAATGGCACACCAATGACCAGTCCCACCACCAATGGTCAGGCAGAAACAGTATGTGGTGCCGATAGAACCGTTGCTCAAAAAGGTATCATAACTTACTCAAGTGGTGATGAATCCACCAAAAGTTTAGGAAAAAAAAGGGCATAAATAAAGCAAAGGCCAAAAGGAGGAGGGCACAAAAGAGGAAGCCAAGTTTGAATGGCGGTAGCATATTGGATGGTTGATAATATTGGGTGGTGAATTGGTGATTGGGATGGAGGAGTGGGTGACAGACCCACGTGACTGACCCACCACCACCACCATTACCACCACTCCCCTCCCCCCCCTCTCTCTCTCTCACTCTCTCTCTCTCGTAGGAATAGTGAGGGCCAAGTGGATGTCTTGGTTGGCTTCATATCAACGCTAACAGCCAAAACAACCCAACGACAACAATAAAACCAAACAAACTTACCCACAATCACACAACTCCACCCCAAAAAGTGAAAAGGAAAAGTTTACAGGTTTCCTATCATTAACTCATTTGACTAAAGTCATCCCATTTTACTTGGTTGCCCACTTTCATTAAACGTTTCCTTTTCTTTCACTTCCCTTTCTCCTCTCCTCCCTATAATGCTAGTAGGCAATGGCTTCTCCCTTTTTATTTATATTTTTAGACTCGAACTTAAGGCCTCACATGCAAGAAATAATGCTCTTAATCATATAAAAGTAATTTTTGTGTATGTGTCAGACTGTAGTTAACAGTTAAGGATGAATGATTATAAAGAACCACAATATTTTTTAAACACATAACTTCATGTGCATAAATAAACGTTGTTAACCACTTGTGCTATAAATCGGACTCATTTCTCTCTCTCTCTCTCTTACTTTATATTGGCCATTTGTACTTACTTAGCCTTTCTTTATCTCTCTAAAATGCTAGTGGTTCTCCTCTACCCTTACCATTTCTTGAGCTCAAACTTGTTTGGTGGGAGGAACATGTTAGCAGCTTAAACAAAAGGGTAAAATTTGTACTACAAGCATTTGGAGAGAGAGAGAGAGAGAGAGAGAGAAAGAGAGAGATGGACAGTGAAACAAACCAAGAAAACCCATCCCTCCCCCCAAACAATTATACCACCACAACCACCAAGGAATTAGAGTCTCCTCCGAGATCAAAACCTCCCCAACAGCCTCCTCTCGGCGGGAGCGGCGGTGACAGACTCAAAAGAGATGAGTGGAGTGAAGGAGCAGTTTCTAGCCTACTTGAAGCTTATGAGACCAAATGGGTTCTCAGAAACAGAGCAAAGCTTAAAGGCCATGACTGGGAAGATGTGGCAAGACACGTGTCGTCACGTGCCAACTGTACCAAGTCCCCAAAGACGCAAACTCAGTGCAAGAACAAGATTGAGTCCATGAAGAAACGGTATCGTTCTGAGTCCGCCGCTGGTGATGGTTCTTCTTGGCCTCTGTATCCTAGGCTTGATCTTTTGTTACGTGGCAGTGGGACGTCCCCAACCGCGGCGGCAGCAGCTGCTGCTGCTGTTGCTGCAACTGTACCGCCCCCGCCACTGCCACCACTACAGCTGCTTCATACACTGCCTCAGAACGATCATCCCTTGATGCTATTGGAGCCTTCAGCACCGCCGCCACTACCGCCGCCACCACAACCTCCTGCTCCTCCGCCACTTATGGGGACTGCCCAGAATTCATTTGGATCCAATGGTGCTGATCATAGGGTGGCCAAGGTCAGTCTACACGGCACCCCCTCCCCTCACCTCCCCTCCCCTGTTTTTATTTTTAATTTTGTTCTTGTTTTTAGCCATTTCCCTTAAATTATGTTTTGATTTAGCTCTCAAGTTTTGTTGAAGACAGTTGGGTTTGTAATTTTATCACTCATATATTAGGATATTAGAACCAAATATGTCCCACCATAACGCCATAGCAATCATATAATTGCATATTTTCTAAATGAACAACAACAATAACAACAACATCTTACCCCACTAAGTAGAGTTGGCTGTATGAAATTTGGAACGTCACTGAGCTTGGTTTTGCGCCAAGTCATCCATTAACATTTACAATTTTTGAAATATTTGTGACATTGAATTCACCGTAGTTAATTGTGAATGATGATTTAGATGTTGTCTCAAATGCTGGTTTGGAAAAATTAGTTAACATTCTCACTTGTAACTTGGGCATTATTTTCAAACACATGAGGTAAAAGTTCTAACAACTGTAAACCACTGAGCTCACAAGGAGGTTAATGCCAAAGTGATATACTAAACAACCCTAATCTACGTAAAAAGGGATTTGAACTTTATGTGAGGGACAATACATTGCTCCGACCAACTAGCCTAACAAAACTCTGTATTAAAACTTGTAAGTCTCACTGAGTTAATTTAACCTGTAGTCGTTTTAACATGCAGGAAGATGCAGTGGGGATGAAATTGTCAGACCATGCATCGGACAAGAACCCTTTGGAGGTAGACAGTAGCACACCAGCTCTCTACAGTGACAAGGAACAATTAAGGTCCAAAAGAATGAAGAGGAAAATGGAGAAAAAGAAGCGGCGAAGGCGGGAGGAAGTAGACGTAGCTGAGAGCATAAGATGGCTAGCAGAAGTTGTGGTAAGATCAGAACAAGCAAGAATGGACTCAATGAGGGAGATAGAGAGGATGAGAGTCGAGGCAGAGGCGAAGCGAGGAGAAATGGATCTCAAGCGTACCGAAATCATTGCGAACACGCAGTTGGAGATTGCAAGGTTGTTTGCAGCTGGTGGTGGCAAGGGGGTTGATTCTTCATTGAGAATTGGAAGAAGTTGACGGAGGGAAAAGTTGAAACTTTGAGAGTGACATAAATGTACAGAATTTATGTAGCATTGGATATTGAGAGAAAAGAAGGAAAGGAGAACTTTTGGAAGCAAAGGTAAGGGAGATCGACTAATTTTTTACCTCATTGTAATCTACATGTTCTCTCTTTCAGCCAGCAATATCAGTGCTTAGACCTACAGAGTATTATTTACTTAAGTTTTCCCAAATATTGTTATTCACCTCACAATAAATAAGTAAATTTGGGCATATTTGATGAGTTGAGTGAATTATTTTTAATAAATCGAACGCCTCAATAGAATGGGAAGTGAAATCCCTACCGGCTTTCTTTTTCGGATGAAGACAAGGACTGTATTTTCATGGTCTGTCAAACACTTTCTTTAAGTTCACGGCCAGAATCAAAAGCGAAGGGCGGTACTGTGGGTTGATTGAATGGATTCACAAACATTTTATATCATGTAGTTAACATATAAATACAAAAAAAACGTAAGAAATATCATAATTCATTTGTTGGTGCAATAGAAATGTTCGCCTTTTTTTTTTTTTGGGATGTTGAGTTCGAAATATGGAGCTGCCATTTTAGTCACTGGTTTTTTCTTGTTTTTCAAATTTACTTCCAATCCATCTGTCTAAATGCATATAAAGTTAAAAAACTCAAGTCCCTTTGCAATCTTTTTTTTTTCAACTTCCTAATCTCTCCATTTATATCGAATGTTTAAACCAACTATCACATGGTCTTGAAGGTTGTATTTTAAGGTAATCAAAACTTTGAAGTTATATTTTGCTTTTCAATAATTTTTTATTCAATGGATTATTTTAATATTTGATTCGTTAGTGTGATGTTGATTTTAGATAAAAACACAAGATAAACAATTGACGGTGGTGAATTTATTATACTCGTCAATCAAGTTTTATTATTCTTCACTCTCAATTTTAAACTCTTGACTATAAACATTTAGGGCTCGTTTTTTATGTGTTTTTAAAATGACTGAAAACACTTTTAGAGAAAATGTTTTTGGAAGCACTTTAAGTGCATTTTCTCTAAAAGCGTTTTCAGTCATTTTAAAAACACATCCAAACGAGTCCTTAGTACATTTACGTCTAAAAACATGAAATATGTAATGTTTAAGTAGTGTTTGTATATTTATCTTCTTTTGATATTAATTTTTAATGATATCTGATGTGGAAATATAATTTTTTATTTATTTAGCAAATTCTTTTTTATACATGTCAATGACAAAGAACCAAGGATCAAAGAACTTTAGAGCCCCACTTCGAAGGCTTGCCTAGGGCCTCCAAATTCTTAAGGTTGACCCTGGTTGAAAAGACGTAGAGCGCGCAATGCATTGAACCCAAAACCACCGTAAGAAGTTTGTTGACCGCAACCAACATCATAAGTAGACGGGTAGTATGCTAAATGTGATATAAACATCAAAATTTAAATGGGTAGTATTCTAAAAATTCTCGCCTAGGCGCTCGGCGGCTGGCAACCATCCGATTAATCCCTAAGCGTTTGAAAATTAATCTATCTATGCATCCGCCTAAGTTGCAACTCTTAGATAGAAAATATATAACTTTATTTGTGTTTTTTTTTTAATAAATTGTAAGAGACTTGATGAATACTTTAATGAACACTCATTATATGTTTGTTCCCCATACTTTCAATATCTTCTAATACTTTATAATCTATTTGTCATTCTATTTTACAATTTATATATTTTAATATAGTTATGTATTTTTTTTTAAGTATAAATAGACATTTATGTACATGTTATATAATAAATATAATTAAAATTAAAAAAAAAAAAAATTCCCTAGCTCGTGCCTAAACGCCTAAATACCGAGGCGCTAAACCGTGCGGGCCGCCTAACTAGCACCTTTTAAAACCAACATAGTAAAACGGATCTTTCATACGCGACATCATTGAAATGATATGACATTGGCCTGTCCAATTTCATGAAGGAGTAGGCAAAACCTTCTTTTATTGTTTTCGGAGTGACGTGAGAAATATGAAAGTTGGTAGTGTTATCTTAATATAAGTAGAACAACTCCATTCCCATAAGAACATTAACTACAAACAGAAAAAAAATGAGAGTTTTAACAAAAAAATTAGTGATACTGTTTACTTTAACGAAAAATCACATTTTTACACTAAAAAGTTAATTCTGATACTATTCACTTTACCTTTTATTTTGTCATTATCGTAAAAACTCAAAATTTTCAAACCATTTTCATTAGTTTTCCTAAAAAAAATTGAAAGTTGGCTTAACAACGTAGCTATAGTAACTAATTAGTTCCTAGTGTTAGTATTTCTCTTCAAAGTTAACAGAGTTTCCAATTGAATTCTTCTTTTTTGGTTGATAAATAAAGAGACAATATAACATGTTTACTTATGAGATAGTGATTTTCACAAATCATTTTTAGCTTCTTATACACTCTGTTTAATCTTTGTAATTGATTATGTGTTATTATTCAACTCAATGGCTATAAATAAAGAAGAATATGCGAGGAGTAAAAAAATGTGTGTGATAATTACTCCCTTATTTATTTGGAATGAAAATTGAAATGATGGAAATTTCCTATTTATTATTTTGATTCATAACTGTTGAACCGTTTATTAACACACGTAGAGTTAAAATATTTTTGAGGTTTAGTCGTCATCCTCTATTTATGATTGGGGTCGTTGGCAACCTCTCATCCACCCTCTGAGGTTTAGTTGTCATCCTCAATTTAGCGTTTTATGTTAATGAAACTTATTATGATTGACAAAAAAAATTAAAATCGTTAATTCAATATTAAAAAAAAATCAGGAATTAGATTGATGGAAAGTAAACATATCGTAGAAGTAAATACATGCTTGTTCTCCTAAATCCCATAGTGGTGACTCATCGTTCGATCTTAATCTAATAGCAGGTGGTCATTTATCTTTTATTTGTACTATTTCCACTGTAGTAGGATTAAGATGGAATTATAGGCATTGTTCTAAAAATCCTCGCCTAAGCATTAGGCGACTCGTCACCGTCCCGATTAATGCCTAGGTGTTTGAAAATTAAGAAGGAGCACCTAAACCTACTGAGGCACCCGCTTAGCCCGCCTAAATCCGCCTAGGTTGTGACTCACTTAGACAGAAAATAGATAACTTTCATTTTGCATTTTATTTTTCAATAAATTGTAAGAGACTTGTTGAATACTTAAATGAACACATATTATATGCTTGTTTCCCATGTTTTCATTATGTTTCAATAGCTCATAATATATATGTCATTCTATTTTGTAGTTTATGATGAAATTATATATATATATATATGTATATATATGTATATATTTTAAGTATAAATATACACTTATTTACACAACATATAATAGATTTAATTAAATCCGTCTAGTTCGCCTAGGCACACATGTGCCTAACTACCTAGGCATTAAGCTCTAACCCACTGCCTGATTAGTGTCTAGCATCTCATAGAATTTGATTATAGGTGGCTACTATTTTCTTTTTGCATGGGCTTGGTTAACTTCATAGTCCTCCAGCAACTCCAACCCAAGTCAGCCCAGTAACTGTCTTTGAGACACAATACTTTTTGGCTTGTCCGCTAGAGTTCAGATAGTGTAGAAAGGATTACTCTTTGAGCTCTGTAGAAAGATGGCTCTCTTCCAAACACAAACAACGCCTCCTATCCACAGCCATGGCGTTAGCTTCCAAACCCACAGCCACTCTCCCATGGCCTTACCATTTCATCCCCCACCGCCTTCCCTCCCTCTTTCTCTCTTCTCCTTTAGAACCCTCCAACAAGACTCACTTTTTTCTCCCCCAACAGTGAAAAGAAAGTTTCTTTGCAGACCCCCTCATGGTAAACATGTTAGAGAAGATTATCTTGTGGTAAGTTCTTCCTGCAAATTCTTTTTTACTTTAGTATTTTGATTACCCATTACAACTTGGTCATCTTTTCTTTAATTCATGAGTTTTTCCTCCTTAAAAGTGGTAATGGTTTGATGGGTTGGTTTGCATTTCCAAATTATTTATCTGTTGGGTATGAAAAATGCAGTAAAATGAAGAATTAGGACATTTAACTTTACTTCTGTTTGGGAAATGGGAAAGCATGGAAATTTTCTTTTCATTTGGCTTTGTTTGAAAACCAACTTGGGATTTGGAGTTTCATTTGTATTTTCCTTTTTGTTACCTCATGAATTATTAATTTGAGCTTATTTAAATTTTGTTTGAGAGGGCAGAAGAAGGTGTCGGCCGAGGAGGTCCAGGAACTGGTAAAAGGAGATAGAAATGTACCCATTATTGTTGATTTCTTTGCAACATGGTGTGGACCCTGTATATTGATGGCTCAAGAACTTGAAATGGTATGCTCTATCATATGCATGCCAGTTTTAGTTATGCTGCTTTCTGATCATATCTGGGGTTTTTGTTTAAAGCCTTAATGGTTTATATGTCGTAATAGTACTACTTTGATATGGATTTCAAACTGTTTGTTGGAGAAATTAGAGTTCACTCAACTGAAATATGAAGCTTTAGACCTTCCTAACTAATCTTGTATAGTTCTATGTGTGTTGTGGTGATTGAAACCATTTTACACGAAATATGCATGTCTACTCTGCAAACATATCTGCATCTTTATCTAGCATGAAATATAATAAAAGGACCCACCATTTTGTAAAACCTCATGGCTGTTTGATATTTGATCGTATGAATTTAACTTTAGAAATACACTTCTTTAATTAGGTGGTAAATGGAGAAAATTCCATTGTCCTACATGTTTAATTGGATGACAATACCTTCAAAGGAGTGTACTTTTCACGGTTATTGGATGGGATCTATAGTTTTATTCTGGTGTTGATAGCTTCTTTTCCTGTTGAATGCTATGTTTGCGATGAATAAGTGTGAAGTTTTCAAAATCCTGACCTCTTCAATAGGATTTTGAAAACGAAGAAGATGCCAAATGAGTGGCGAACGAGCACTTTGGTGCCTATCTACAAGAATAAGGGCGACGTACAAAATTGCATGAACTATAGGGGTATTAAGCTAATGAGTCATACAATGAAGCTTTGGGAGAGAGTCATTGAGCATAGATTGAGGCAAGAGACACGGGTTTCAGACGACCAATTCGGGTTCATGCCAGGGCGCTCAACCATGGAGGCAATCTATCTCTTACGAAGATTGATGGAAAGATATAGAGATGGGAAAAAAGGATTTACACATGGTCTTTATAGATTTGGAAAAAGCGTATGATAGGGTCCCAAGAGACATTCTTTGGAGGATTTTAGAGAAGAAAGGAGTACGAGTAGCAATATAATCTAAGCAATAAGGATATGTATGAAGGAGCAAAGACTGCCGTAAGAACTCATGAAGGACAAACCGAAAGCTTTCCCATAACTGTAGGATTACATCAAGGCTCATCCTTAAGTCCTTACCTTTTTGCGTTGGTAATGGATGAGTTAACAAGACATTCATTGGAGATGATATTCCTTGGTGTATGCTTTTCGCAGATGATAAGATATAGATATTGGAAGATTAGAAGATGGAAACTCAAGGATATGATAGGGTAAATGCATTGATGAAGGAAGTTATGCCAAGTAAGATTTGTATTGAAGGACAAAAGCGAATTTTCCAACTGTGGATTCATAAGGCTCATCCTAGGTCTTCGCCTAAGCGTGGATCAAAGACAGAATATATGGAGCTTTTCGCAGACGATATAGTGTCAGAAAACTCAGGAAGGGTAAATGCAAAGCTTAACCTTTGGAGAGAAGTTGCAATCTAAAGGTCTTCGCCTAACCGATCAAAGACAGAATATGGAGTGCAAGTTCAGTGCAAATGGAGGCCAAAACGAGTTAGGGGTGAGGATCGGAGATCAAGAAATACCAAAGAGCGACCGTTTTCGTTACCTAGGATCTATCTTGCAAAAGAACGGAGAATTAGATGGAGATCTCAACCATAGAATACAAGCTGGATGGATGAAGTGGAAGAGTGCATCCGGCGTGTTATGTGACCGCCGTATGCCACTAAAGCTCAAGGGAAAATTTTATAGGACGGCAATAAGGCCGGCGATGCTGTATGGCACAGAATGTTGGGCGGTGAAACATCAACACGTACACAAAATGGGTGTAGCGGAGATGAGGATGCTTCGTTGGATGTGTGGGCACACGAGAAAGGAAAGATAAGATTAGGAATGAGGATATCCGGGGTAAAGTAGGAGTAGCCGAAATTGAAGGAAAGATGAGAGAAAAATCGGTTACGGTGGTTTGGACATGTGCAAAGAAGGCCTACTGACGCTCCGATTAGAAGATGCGACTATGGGACAGAGGTTCAGGGCCGAAGGGGTAGAGGAAGACCTAGGAAAACTTTGGAAGAGACTCTAAGAAAAGACTTAGAGTACTTGGATCTAACGAAGGACATGACACAGGATCGAGCACAATGGCGTTCTAAGATTCATATAGCCGATCCCACTCAGTGACTTGGATTTTCCAAGTCTCCAACCGAGAAGTTTTCCTCACTCGGAAAATTAAGGGAACACTACCCCAACCTACATGCTCCACTCAGAAAGCTTCAACATACAAGCTTCAACAAAAGAAAATTCAAAGAACTTAGCGAAGAAGACTTTGGTGTATTTAACACAATACGTTGAAATGAAGGAAAGCTTATTTATTGATATTCCCGATAAGCTACAAATATGTACATATACATGAGTCAAAATAAACACACAAGAGGGAGCCTTCACAAAGGTTGCTTAGGAGAAGTCTCAGCAGTCGGTAGAGCCCCAGAAAGAGAAGGCACCGGAGGGGGATCATTTGGAGCCTCAGTACTGGACAGAACCCTAGAAGGAGGAGGCATCAGAGGTTGATCATTTGGAGCTTCATTACGCGGTATAGCCCCAGAAGACGAAGGCAATAAATGCCTTTGGAACAAACCCACAAATCTCTGATGATCAAGTAAAACCTGACCATCAGTTTCCTTCATCTGGTCAAGCTTCCTCTTCATGTTTGTAGCATAGTCATGTGCGAGCCGGTGCAACTGTTTATTCTCATGCTTGAGCCCTCTAATCTCCTGTTTGAGACTCATCACTTCAGCCGCCAATGATTCAACTTGGCGGGTTCGAGCAAATAGGCGTTGGGCCATATTAGACACAGAACCTGCACACTGAACACTGAGAGCCAGCGAATCCTTAACAGCTAACTCATCAGACCGTTTGGAAAGTAGTCTGTTATCTTTGGGAGTGAGAAGGTTCCTGGCCACCACCGCAGCGGTCATATCATTCTTCATCACGGAATCCCCAACGGTAAGAGGACCAGTAGGGGAGACGAAGGATGGGCGCCATATGTTGTCTGGAGAAGGCGGGGCTGCCTCTTCAACAAGGTTCAAGTCAAAACGACGGTCGGAGGGGCCAGACATTTTCAAAGGTGTTGAAGAGAGAAGAGGTCGGACAAATCAAGATCTTAGAAGTGCAAGAATGAAGCTTCTACTGGTGGAGATTCAAGTGTGCTTTGGAACTTAATGCCAGCCCTTATAAAAATCTGCACTCGACGGAGCTTCAGAAATCGAAGAGGCGCCTGCTCAGAAATCGAAGAGGCGTTTGCTTTCTCAAAAGTTGGGCTGCTTAGAGATCACGAGGGTTGATCTCAGAAATCGAAGAGGCGTTTGCTTTCTCAAAAGTTGGGCTGCTCAAAGACCACGAAGGCTGATCTCAGAAATCGAAGAGGCGCTCGCTTTCTCAAAAGCTGGGCTCCCCAGAGACCACGAGGGCCGATCTCAGAAATCGAAGAGGCACCTACTTTTCCAGCCTTGTCAGCACCTGTCACACGCACACTCAGCTTTGCAGAAATTATGGGCATTCTGTCGAAGACTTCTGGGGAAGTAGAAAACACATGAATCTTACTATTCAATCACCCACTTCCCACACGCAACAATAGCTCATGGGTACCACAGAAAACTTTGCCAAAGTTCTCTGCCAAAGTTGAGCACGTGAAGCTTGCAGCTCCCACTACATTGCTCTGACCAAGAAGGGTAAAAGAATAGCAAAGAAACAGCAATAACAAAGTTTAGACCCATAAATTTTGAAGGTCTAGCTACCATATTATTACCCACAAGGGTAAAGGAACAGTACCACTGCTGGATAATTGGAAAGTCCCTGTGTGTCAACCTCTGTGCTTCGTGGCAAGGTAGACTAGCAAACATGCCCAACCTTTACTCATATTCGAGAAAACACTCCCAATAAGATTGCTTGCTCCAAAATCGAAGAGGCACCGTCCTCTGAATCTCGAGAGCCAGACTCCCAACATGATTACTTTCTCAAAAATCGAAGAGACACTGCTCCCTGAATCTTCGAGAGCCAGACCCCCAGCATGATTGCTTTCTCAAAAATCGATGAGGCATCGTTCTCCGAATCAATCGAAGAGGCGCTCGCTTTCTCAAAAGCTGGGCTGCTCAGAGACCACGAGGGCCGATCTCAGAAATCGAAGAGGCACCTACTTTTCTAGCCTTGTCAGCACCTGTCACACGCACACTCAGCTTTGCAGAAATTATGGGCATTCTGTCAAAGACTTCTGGTGAAGTAGAAAGCACATGAATCTTATTGTTCAATCACCCACTTCCCACACGCAACAATAGCTCATGGGTACCACAGATAACTTTGCCAAAGTTCTCTGCCAAAGTTGAGCACGTGAAGCTTGCAACTCCCACTACATCGCTCTGACCAAGAAAGGTGAAAGAATAGCAAAGAAAAAGCACTAACAAAATTTAGACACATAAATTTTGAAGGTCTAGCTACCATATTATTACCCACAAGGGTAAAGGAACAGTACCACTGCTGGATAATTGGAAAGTCCCTGTGTGTCAACCTCTGTGCTTCGTGGCAAGGTAGACTAGCAAACATGCCCAACCTTTACTCACATTCGAGACAACACTCCCAACAAGATTGCTTGCTCCAAAATCGAAGAGGCACCGCCCTCCGAATCTCGAGAGCCAGACTCCCAACATGATTACTTCCTCAAAAATCGAAGAGACACTGCTCTCCGAATCTCGAGAGCCAGACCCCCAGCATGATTGCTTTCTCAAAAATCGAAGAGGCATCGTTCTCCGAATCTCGAGAGCCAGATACCACAGACCACTTTTTCAAAGTGCTCTGACAGAGTTAAAACATGTGAAACTGGCAGCTCCCACTACCGTGCTATGACCAAGCAGGGTAAAGGAATAGCATTACTACTTGTTAGGGAGACTCCTATATATGTCGACCCCCATCCCCAACAGACAGGCAGACCTGCAAAAATGCTCAACCCTTCATCATATCTGAGAGGGCACTCCCAACGAAGCCTTTCGAAATATTCAGCTTTCTTTCCCCCCGATAATACCTCTGCAAACAAGCTATACTAGAGCAAGAATATCTCATATCATCAGGGTTAAAAGCAAGAGTATCCCATATCATGCTTTTTTCCCTGTCTTTTCCTTTGGCCTTGTTTTTACCTGCAAGACAAGGAGAAAGAGAGCAATCAGTCAGCACTTGGAATCAAGCTTCCAGCCAGAATCTGACTGCCTGGAACCCCTTACCTGATTACTTACCTGGCATTGCTCTCGAGTACTCATCTTCAACATCTTATGTTTCCAGGGAAGATTCCGCATTTGCTTGAGGAACAGATAGGGCAAGTGCGAAGGATACAAGGAAGCATGTGGAGACAAGCGTAACAGCACACGTGCCGATACATCCATTACTCTGTCAAAAGCAAAAGTATCCCATATCAGCAGGGTGGAACGTACTCTAGATTTGATGGACTTGTTTTGACCCTCAAATTCTTCAGTCGGCCTTATACTCTGGAGGAAACCAGAAAACCCTCCAGCTCAGTTCAAGAATAAGCCTGTGGAAAGTTACTTCTTCAAAAGCAAAAGTATCTCATATCATCTCTTCTCATTTTTCTTCTCTTTATCCTTCATGCTGCTGCAAGATGGGGAGAAGGTGAACAATCAGTCGGAGCTCTGATTGCTTACCTTGTCTGTCACCTCTTTCAGCAGACCCCCTAGCTCGGCGACTTGGGGGACTCCTACTACATGGTTTGTATCGCGCTTGACCAAGCCTGAAACTACAAGTAAGCTTCAAGTGAAATTGATACATTACCTTGTGCATCTCCACCAGTTAAAGATACCACCCCTGGATGGAGGAAGAGTACTTCCAGAAGATGCCACATCTACCTATGAGACAGATAAGGCAAGTCAAGACGACTCCACACTCCGATACTTAGAAGTTTCGTGATTACGAGATCATTCTCCCGCAATATTTCCTAATGTCATTTGTACTAAATCATTCACTTGTACTCACTAAAGGAGAGCTTGAACCTATTATGTACTTGTGTAAACCCTTCACAATTAATGAGAACTCTTCTATTCCGTGGACGTAGCCAATATGGGTGAACCACGCACATCTTGTGTTTGCTTTCCTATTCTCTATCTATATCCATTTACCACTTAACGACCTAACCGGAGCAATCTAGCGAAATCAACAAAAAACCCTTTTCGCTACCTAGGAGATCTATCTTATGAAACAAAGAACGGTGTTGATGATGGAATCTGTAGGAGATCTCAAGCGTGCTGGGTAAGAAGTGAAGCGTAATGCCAGTCGAAGCTCAAGGGAAAATTTTATAGGACGTGGCAGCGATGAAGCCAGGTGAAGTTGTATAGCATCAACACGACACAATTGGGTGGCGGAGATGAATGCTTGTACGGGATTGGGTGCACACGTAGATGGATAAGATTGAAATGGTGTGAGGCACACGATGTGAAAGAAAGATTGATGGGGAATCCGAGGTAAAGTAGGTAGTAGCCAAAATTGTAGGAAAGATGAGAGAAAATCGGCTCCGGTGATTTGGACATGTGCAAAGAAGCCGAATGACGCTCCGGTTCAAAGATGTGGGACAGAGGTTCAGAAGGGTAGTAGGAAAACCTTGGAAACTAAGGAAGAGACTCTAAGAAAAGACTTAGAGTACTTGGATCTAACGGAGGACATGAACCAGAGCGCAATGGCGTTCTAGGATTCATATAGCCGACCCCACTTACTGGATGTAAGCTTTGGATTGAAAGGCTTTGTTGTTGTTAAGTTGTTCAATTGTGTTGTTTTTGATTGTCTTATGAACAATTAATTTTTGAATTTTTCTGCAAAAATAATTGACAGTTATTTTTTGTTGTATTTTTAATTCAGGAAAAATAAGAAGAGTAAAATGGATAACTAAATCGACATACATAATTTTGAACAGTTTAATATAGTAAGCCCAATATTTCTGTTTTTTTTCTTTATTTTTTATTTTTTTTATAAGATTTGATAGGTTGAAATTTGTTATTCAGTTTTAGAACTCGTGAGTACTGATCTTATGAGCTATAGACGATGGGCTGATGAGTCAAACTTCTAGCAGATAGCCAGAGGAAACTATGATTATCTACCTTAGTATCTGAACGAAGCCAAATAAGAATATTCATATGTGCATAATTCTTTTGAAATTGAATGTAGCTATACCGCAGTGGCGGGAAGTAATCAGGCTTATGCACGGGTTTGAATTTCACCGATTCCTCTCTCCCTCCCCCTAACAACTAACAATTTAATCACTACTTCCTATCATTCTCACATTTATTTGCTTCTGGAATACAAACACGGTAAAGTGTCAATGCCACTTGATTATCATGGACCTAATCTGTTTTTTTAATTAATCAGCCATTGGAAACCAAAATGCTTTCAGAACTGAAGTCGCTTTTTTATTTTGTGGACCTTGTGATTTGCGATTCAAACATTTTTGGTTGATGTAGAGTAATCCACTTTGGATCTAAATTTGTTAATTTTATTTTCTCTAAGATCTCGTGTTCACCTAAGTTGCATTTTTGACGTGGGTCGTAAAAGTTTCATACAGCAAGTATACATAATATAAGTACCTGACTGGTACTGATTTCGAATGTTTGCAAACATATGAGTAATGTTAAAAACTTTTGATTTTCACAACAGCTTGCTGTGGAGTACGAGAGCAATGTAAGAATTGTAAAGGTTGACACGGATGATGAATACGAATTTGCACGGGACATGCAGGTAATTGCCTTCTTGTTTAACGTTGCTCTATAGTTTTACTCTCTCTATTCTCTCATCTTCTTTGGTGCTCTGAAGTCTGAAACCCTTATGAGCCTTACGGATTTATGTGTCTGTACCTAGATTTGTTCATAGAAAAATAGTTCTACATTATACGAGATTTTTCTCTAGTCTCGATGATAAATATTGTGGATACACTGGGTGGATTTTTCTTATATCTCTGCTTGAAGATCTATGTGTATTTGTTTCGCTATTGTTTTGGAGTTGAAGTGATGTCTGAACGTAGTGGAAAAATAATTGGCAAAAGAATACTTACTGAACTCGTTGGATCAGGTACGAGGATTGCCGACATTGTTATTTATAAGTCCAGATTCAAGTAAAGAAGCCATCCGGACTGAAGGGCTCATCCCATTACAGATGATGCGGGATATCATTGATAACGAAATGTGAAGTAGCCCGTGGCTTATTTCTGCATAAATATGGGGAGCATGGGTTTGGTGATGGTACAAACATTACCAGTACTGTTCGAGGTCTGTTATGTTCTGATTCACTAACTGAAATTTTGCCGTGGAGCGAACAATTTAGTAGCCATAAGATAGCGAGTAGATCTGATTGTTTTAGGCATGTATAAATGTAAGGATGCACGTCCATCACACATCCTCGCACGGTTAGAGGTGCAAGGATGTTTTGTGATGGTACGAGAATTACCGTTGTTGTTACTGTTTTGTGATGGTACCCTAAAGAGATTTTACTCCTTTCCGTTAAGCTGCAAGTTCATGGTAGATCATCAAACCAGTTGTTTGTAATTGTTGTTAAAGTTCTGAAGTGGATTTGGTTGATTATTGCCTTGCTGGATATCTCAAGTTTTGTTAAATAGGTAGTGGAGGCAGATGGCAGAGATCATGTGGGCCAAGGAAGGAAGTGGGATATCCTGGCTTTTCACTAGTCGGCTGCTATCAGCACCCTCGCTACGCATTACGTCAAAGTCCAGGTACTCTGCCTCGCGGCGGCACAAAAACCCACATGTAATGGGATGTCAAGGTTACTTGCGATTAGAAAACTAGGATGCGAAGGTGATGGTAACCAAATCAATAGCATAATGCGATTAGAAATCAGTGTTTATTTTTTTATTTTTTGTTTTGCCATTTGATCTTGTGTTAAATTTGTGATGTGGACGTGAGACTTGTTAATAGGTGGATGAAGTAACTAGAATTGCAAAATAAACCCCAAACATACAATTAGGCCCAGACAAAAAATACAAAAAACAAAACAAGACAAAGCAGCCTGCACCCAACCGCCATGGACCGGAATCCGCCACCATGCACCACCATCCCAGCAAATACCGGAGATCTAGCCAACCGAAGCCCTATAAGTGGTGGAAAAGAAAGCTCCAACCGTCATCCATCAAGCACCAAATGGATCTAAGCCACAGATTGAATGAAACCACAGGGAAAGAGAACCCATTAGTAACTATACCAATAAAGGCATACACATAGAAGGTGGTGGTGTGTCCATCGAAACCGGAGCTGTACCCACCTTCCGAGAGGTTTGCTATAAGTCGTGTGAAGAAAAATGGTCTTCAAATACAAAATTGTGAGAGATCGAGGAAGGACAAAGCTAGGTGGGGTGGAAAGGATGGTGAATGAAGATAAATAAGGAGGTGGAAGCGAAATAGAGATTGGTTGAAGAAGGGATCGGAACTTGGAGAGAAGAACGAGGTAGATTGGGTCGAAACGTCTAGTACAAAACGCAAGCCAACGAGTACACATAAAATAAAAGAAGAAAAGGAGAAACAGGTGACGGCCACCGACCCTTGACACAGCCAGAGATGGCCACGGAAGAGGGAGAAAGAAGTACATCAAGTTTTTTTCGTCCCAGAGGCATACCTAAAGTATAAATTTTGGGACAGTCTCATACATCCGTTAGTCAAACTGTTAAGTCCCCCGTTAACTATGACGTGACGCCCACATGGACAATGACTAGGTAGCACGTGGATTTATTTATTTTAGAGAATGGGTTTCAGTGAACAAAAAATTCAAAATTCAAAATTCTCGACCCCCCATCTCCCATAGAAAAGGTGAAAAGTGAAAAGTGAAACCACTTTTCACTCCCCCAGAAAATCGCAACCCATCTCTGTCTGAAACCCTACCAACGGGCCATCACTTGACCTCGCCATCGCTCTACCTCACACGCTGTCATACGTTGCACACACATTTCTAGGAAAGATGTCGTGAAGCCATCGTTGGCGATAGGGTGGAAAAAAGGAGGATCGAATTGGGTGAAACACCACTTTATTGTAAGTAACCTACCTTTTTCGAAGTGTAGATAATATGGGTTTAAGTTTTTTGATTTTTCAATTTTGAATTTTAGGGATTAGGGATCTGTGAGTTCCAATCCCATTTTTTTTCTATGGTTTATGGAATTGTGTTTTGTAGTGGGTTGTGCATGTGGTTTTGTTTTCAATTGTGGTCCCTATGGTTTTGTTTTCACCTTTTTTTCTATGGTTTCAGGAAAAAATGTGGAATTGTATTCATGGTCCCCATGGTTTTGTTTTCACCTTTTTTCCTCATGGTCATACTAGTGTTTTCACCTTTTTCCCCATGTGCCTCCAGGATTTTATGTTGTTTTCACCTTTCTCCTTGACTTTGCAGGCATGCCCGAATTATTTAGCCTTAAAATTAACCATGGTGGGAAGTGGTCTGAAAGTGCATATACGGGAGGGTTTGAGGCTTGGTTTGATTACTTAGACAAAGATTTCATGTCTTTTTTCGAGATTGATGAAATGGTTAAGGAGTTAAGATATGATGGGTTGATGTTGTATAGGATTCCTGGGATGTCTTATTGGGAGGGATAAAGGCTGATTGAACGGGACCAAGATGTGGCTGAAATGTGCAAGTATGTTCCAGGGGTTAGGGAAATAGAAATTTACCTAGAACATCTGAGTCCGAAGCAAGCTGCCTTGAAACATAAACTTTTGATGAATCTAGATGAGAGTGTCATATTAAAAAAAGGTGTCATTATAGAATATATTGAGGAATCGAGGTTGGTGATTTTGATTACAAAGGGAAGTGGTTCAAAATTGAAGAAGGGTAAAGCAAAAAAAGGTGCAGATGACTTAGAAAAATGGCTATGTCTTTTGAATGACATAGCCTACATTGGTGATGATGAACATGAGGCTAAAGCAACTGAGGGAGGACAATGAAATGGAGATGAGGTTGAAGATGGTCCTCTCAATGCTGATAATAAAGGTGATGAAGATGATGAAGGTGATGAAATTGAAGAAGGTCACGAAGCTGAAGAAGTTAATGAAGGGACCGAAGTAGAAGCTAATGAAGGTAAAATTTTTGAAACATTTATTTTTACAATTTTAATTTCAGTATTCAATTATTTTTGCAAAGTTTAGGTTTTTAACAAATATGCATTGTTTGTGGCAGTAAATGCAGAGGATGACACTACATATATTGAGTTTATGGATAGTAACTACAGTTTGGAAGATGATGATTGTCGTGCAGTAGATGATACGGTTGTAGAAAGTGTCGTTGGAGATGCTGAAAGGGGTGAATGGGTTGGGAACCAACATCCAGAAGAAGTTATTGATGCAAGGGATGTAGAAGACGTTCCCCTTGATGATGAGAGACAAGACTTATATGGCCTGCACAGTGTTGACGATTCAGGTTCAGAATGTGATGAGAAGGTCATCTACCATGAGTTTAATGAAGAAGCTAACAGGGATGATCCAAAGTTTGAAAAGGGATTAAAGTTCAGAGTTGCTGCACAGTTGAGAGAGGCAGTGTGGTTTCACTCCATTAAGCATGATGCACATTCTATTAAGCTAAAAATGAATGAGAAATGGAAGATTAGTGCAATGTGTGAGAAAAATTGTCCATGGAGATTGTATGCTTCTAGGATGTACAATGAATATTCAATGCAAGGGAAAACCTATGTTGGGAAACATGAATGTTTGAGGATTTGGAGGGAAAATCCTAACTGCAAAGTGGCATGGCTTGTGAAAAGGTATGTGGACAAGTTCAGACTCAACCCAAGCATGCCCATCACTACATTTATGGAAACAGTGAAGGAGGAAAGAATGGTTGAGATCCACATCAAGACAACCTACAAAGTGAGAGCACAATGTTTGAAAATCCTTTAGGGGAGTAACATGGATCAGTACACAAAGTTATGGGAATACTGTGATGAGTTTAGAAGGACAAACCGGGGTAGTACAATTCAGATGAAGGTGTTGCCCTATGATGATACTCATGTGATATTTCAGAGGATTTATATTTGTTTGGGGGCTTGCAAAAATGGATTTAATAATGGATGTAGGCAGCTTGTAGGGTGGGATGGTTGTCACTTGAAAGGGGTGTTCAAAGGCCAGTTACTGTCTGTAGTGGGAATGGATGCAAATAACCAAACTTGGGTTATTGCATATACTATAGTGGAGCTCGAGAACAAAGACAGTTGGGTTTGGTTTCTGGAACTGCTAGCTGCTGACTTGGGAATTGTGAACCAGCATGCTTAGACTTTCATTTCTGACAAACAAAAGGGTTTAATACCAGCTTTTGAGAAGGTACTACCTAATTGTAATCATCGGTTATGTGTTAGGTACTTATACACCAACTACAAGGCAGATGAGTTTAAAGGGAAAGAATTAAAAGATGCCTTATAGAATGCTGCCAAGGCAACAACCATCGCAGAAAGAGTATAGTTGAGGTGATTAGGCTGAATGAAGAAGCTTATAAATGGTTGGAGAATAAACCAGCATTGCATTGGAGTAGGTCACACTTTGAGACACACACTCAATGTGACATTCTCTTAAACAACCTCTGTGAGAGCTTCAATTCTTTTATCCTAAGGTCTAGGGACAGGCCTATTATTATCATGCTGGAAACTATATGAGTTTTATTGATGAAGATGATATGGTTGAGAAGAGATGCAATGAGGAAGGATAAATGAGCTATCTGCCCAAAAATTCAGAAGAAGTTTGAGGAGTACAAACTGAAAAGCTCACACACTATAGCTACATGGTATGGAGGAGAAAAATTTGAAGTGGATGAAGGCAGAGGCAATATATTTGTGGTGGATTTGAATGGGTGCACTTGCTCATGCAGAAGATGGAATTTGACAGACTTTCCTTGCATACATAGTTGCTTAGCCATCTATTATGCAAGGAGACAGCCTTCAGAATTTGTTTCCTCTTGGTACAAGAAGGAGAAGTACTTTGAAGCTTACGAAAACTTGATTCAACCTGTCCAAGGCATGAAATTTTGGGAGCCATCTGAAAATAAATGCATTCTTCCTCCAACTTTTAAAAGGCAGTTGGGGAGACCAAAAAAGAAGAGACATAGGGAGGGTGATGAAAATAAATTCAAGTTAAGCAAGAGAGGGCAAAAAAAGTGTGAAGTGTAGTGTTTGCAAGGCCTCGGGACACAACAAGGCCAGATGCCCTACCACTCATCATCCTCCAGCTGTTAGAAAAGGAAGAAAAAGCAAGAAAAATGAGGTATAATTTTGATATTTTTTGTTGAATTTTCATTTCTTAAGTGAATTTGTTATTTGTGAGGTGTAGTATCTGTCAATGCTAATGCTATATAAGTTCATTACTTAGGCCTCAACATCTAAGGCATCATAACCCTCTCAATCATCGCAACTATGCACTCAGGTAGCTCCACAACCTTCATCTCAGCCAACTCAAGCCTCTCAAACCACTTCAGAAAAAGAGGAGGAATGTTCCATGATGCTGCTTTAATGCTTTAGGTAGTTTAAGGGTTCATTTTGTTATAGTCGAATATGCCCGTAGTTTTGTTTTTAATCAACTTTCCGATATATCTTTAGTGTTTTGGACAGAGTTCAATTAGTTGTTAAGGTTGACCCATTAGTGTTTTGGCCAGTTTTTTTTACAGATCTTTAGTATTTTTTTAATAACACCTTGACGCATTAGTTGTAAAAGTTGTGGTCTTTTGATACTTTTGTGTGAATTGAAAGTTGTTGACAATTGAACTTTGTTGGTAGTTTAAATGATGAATTTGCAGATTGAGAATTCAAAGTTTGTTTGGAATTGAATTTGCAGATTTGGAATAGAAAGTTGTGGTTTTTTCCCTGTTTAATTTGATTTTTTTTTTCAAAAAATTTTGGCGGGAAAAAATGTAAGGTACATGGTTGTGGGAAAAAAAATTTGGGTGGGAAGTTTTTTTTTTGGAACCCCTTCTCTAAAAAAAAAAAAATATTCCACATAGACCCACATAGCGCCCAGTCATTGTCCACGTGGGTGCCACGTCACAGTTAACGGGAGACTTATCAGTTTAACTAACGGATGTATGAGACTGTCCCAAAATTTACACTTTAGGTATGACTCTGGGACGAAAAAAACTTGATGTACTAAATGTTGAAAACCACAAAACATAAGGGTAGTAAACAGAGATTTACCCAAGAAGTTAACAACAAACTCTCACAAGCAAGGTTCTAAAAGACACAATACGCTAGTCAGACGGCAGGCTGAGGCCTAAGGCCTAGTGACTAGGCAGGCGCTTAGACGGACTAGGCAGGCGCTTAGGCGGACTAGGCAGATTTAAATAAATCTATTATATTTCGTGTAAATAAGTATCTGTTTATACCTTAAATATATAATTTCATAATAAACTACAAAATATAATGATATATATATATATATATATATATATATATATATATTACGAAGTATTGAAACATAACATGGAGAACAAGGATATAATGTGTGTTCATTTAAGTATGCAACAAGTCTCTTACAATTTATTGAAAAAAATAAAATGCAAAATGAAAGTTATCTATTTTCTGTTTAAGTGAGTCGCGACCTAGACGGCTGCCTTAGCAGGTCCAGACGCATTTTCTTAATTTTCAAACGCTGCATTAATCGAGACGGTGACCAACTGCCTAACGCCTAGACCGCTAGACGATAATTTTTAGAACAGTGATCATAAGGGAGAATGAACTCTCACGAAGGGAAAGAAGCTTCTAACGTCTTTTTTTAATTAGAATCGACATTTCCCACTTTGTTAATTTAACAACAAACACGATACTCAAATAGCCAGAAGAGAAAAATGGCCAGATATAGTTTCAAAATCTCAAAGTGATGTAAAAGCATTGACACTCGATGACTCTTTTTGTAAAAGGAAATAAATTCCATACAATACTTTCTACCTTTTTTTTTTTTTTTTTTTTTTTTTTTTTTGAAAATCCAGAAATAAATTGGGTTCTAAATGAGTAGAACATAAATGTGTTAAATCAAAGAACTCTGAACTTATAGGTTGAAAACATATAGTTTTCCTTTTGGATGATGAAACAGTGAAAAATATAGTTAGAATTGTTTTGTTTAAGCAATCTTCTCGACGAAAAGAGAAATTCTGAGATCCGACAATCGAACTGCTTGTTCGTGGAGAATAAAAAGGAACACACTTTCTTTATCCCAATCCTTGATTTGCCATATTCACTCTGACCTACTTTTGATCCCACTCCTTTATGTTGTACCAAGACCCTCTCCTACTAAATACTTACAATAAAAGAAGGCTTAAATGTCAAAATAGCCTCGTGTGATAGCCATTTGGCCAATTTAGTCTTTGTGTTTTTAATTTGGTCAATTTGGTTCTCATGTTTATCTCAATAAACCAATTAAGAACATTTCATCCAACTCCTCGACCTCCTCCCAACTTCTTGACCTTTTCCCTAATGTTCTCTCATCTCCTAATTTTCTTCAAACACCCCCATTCTTTTCTATGTCACAACCTTAATAAATTTTTGGGTAAATCTCTGTTTATTACCTTCAAGTTTCATGGTTTTCAACATTTGTTACATCAAGTTTTTTTCGTCCCAGAGTCATACCTAAAGTGTAAATTTTTGGACAGTCTCATACATCTGTTAGTCAAACTGTTAAGCACCTATGTGGACAATGACTGAACGCCATGTGTCATTAAAAAATATTAAACTATTAAAATAATTAATTAAAAAAAAGTATTTTTAAAAAAAAAGAAAAAAACCTAGAACTCATTTGTCTTCCCCACCCGACCCCTTCCCTTCTCCCTCCATTCTCCCCACTGCACCTACCTTAACGTCTGCACATCTATCCTTCCCCCTCATCCGACCACCATTCTAACCACATCCCCTCCCTCGTGGATCTACTCCCATCCCCTTCTCTGTCGTCCCCACCCCAATCTCATATCCAATTCTCTTTCATAAATTCCATTCCTAACCCCACAAACATGGAGAAAGGAAGACCCATCCCCACTGTCGTCCGAGCACTTTTCTCCCTTCGCCGGAGACCTTGTCGTCGTGACTTACACTGAGCACACCAAAAGGAAGACTGTGACGACGATGGACGTCATTTATGCGCTCAAGAGGCAAGGTAAGACTTTGCATGGGTTCGGGGGTTAGGTTGTTAGGGTTTCAGATTGGGCATTTTGTAAATTGGTTGGTTGGTGGGCTGGCCGTTAGGTAGATTTAGGAAAGGAAATGCTTCAATTTTTATGTTTTTAGTTTGGATTTGAATGGAAAATCTACCTATTTGCACTGGTGTATGAGTCGCCACGTTTGGTGTGCTCGTCCCGCTCATCCCTCTTCACCTCCCCGACCCACCTTCTCCCTCTGTGACTCCCCTGATCCCTACCATCGTCGTCTTCATCCTCAAATCAAACGAAAGCTGCAACCCTCCCCAAATCAAAACAGAACCCAATTGCAAGACATGAATTAAACCCTAAAAGTCAAATCAAATTCAATCACATAAATAATTAGAAAGTTTAGAAATTGGAGAACTAGAAGTTAGACTTCAATTGGGGTTTTGATGGTTTGGTTGTAGACCATTTGAGAGCTCAGGTTGAAGAAGAAGGGTGGCCCTTTTTTCTGTGATTTGGCGGTGCAGAGAGGAGGGGAGGTGAGGTAGAAGACGCGTGGTTTTTTTTTTTAAATACTTTTTTAATTATTTATTTTAATAGTTTAATTTTTTTTTAATTTTTTAATGACACGTGGCGCCTAGTCATTGTCCACATAGGTGCCACGTCATCAGTTAACAACAGACTTAACAGTTTAACTAACGAATGTATGAGACTATCCCAAAATTTACACTTTAGGTATGACTTTGGGACGAAAAAAACTTGATGTATTAAATGTTGAAAATCACGAAACTTAAGGGTAGTAAACAAAGATTTACCCTAATTTTTTCATATTGAAAGTTTACTTTGTTATATGTGTTAATTCTTATTGATTTGCATTTTTCTGTAAATTTATGTTTAAATAAAAAGAAAGGGTAATATATGGCTCTCTAAATAGTGATCTGTTACTCGATTAACCGTCAAAGGCGAGGTGGTCGAGGTTAATTTTCTTGGGACTATAAGAGCACTTCCAGCCATGTCAATTGGCCGGGGGACAGGCGAGATCAAAAGGC